ACCTCCATCCCCCGCCCAGCGTGGCAAGCGCCATTTTGCGAACGAAATTGGTTACATCAATAGCGGCGCTATCGCCTGGGCTATTGCCTCCTCCTTTATATTCCTCCGGTGACTGACCTCCACCGCCACCCCCGCATTCCTCACAAAATGGAAGCGTCAACATATCGGATCGGCCTCGCCTGCTGGCCAAGCGGGGACGGGCTGAAGTGGGGAGGAAGGATGACTTTTTATTCCTTTGATGCACCGGTGGCATTGACGCCGCAACCTAACAAGTTCCTGGATGCTGCCGCACGCTTTGAGTCCTGGACAGACTCTTTATAATTTCTCGTCGCTTCCGATCGATTTTTATGCGGCCGCCTCCGAGTAAATGGGCCAGCCAGGGATGTGTCTCCAGAGGAGGCGCGCTGTGATATAAAGACTTAACAGCGTGTTTTGTTTGCCCGTTCCTGCCACTGTGTGTGGTGTGTGTCTGTGTGTGTGTGTGTGTGGTGTGTGTGTTTGTTTGTGTTTTCCTTTGGAGGTGCTGTCTAGCTAATCAGCCCCAAACACCATGACTTATTGGACGAAGGTTTCATTTGCCTCGTGACATTTCCAAAAGAAGTTCCTTTGAGCCGCACCCGGGTTTAATGTTCCTTTGGCCCACAGTGAACAGAGAACATTTCTCCGAATTCGTGCGCTCGCTTAAGCTACTGTAGTGTCTTAGTATGGTTGCTCGGCAAGTTAAACATTCAGGAAAAGCCTCTGTGATACACCGGATCAACATTTTTGAACCGTTTAGACCCGGGATGAGCAACTTAAATGCTGAAGGTGCCCACAATTAAATTAATGAAGGGGCCACTCAGAGTGGGGTTGCGGCACCGTTTTCCATCCCTGATTTCGAACAAACTACCCCTGTGGTTTTGTTCCCCATGCTCCTAGGAGGAAAGTGAGAGGAGGTTCATTTTTATGCAACTGGTCATTGAGGTCAGTCATTGCATCTGGATGAAACCCATGATGCAAAACATGGACGACAGAAAAAGTGGCATGCCCCAAACTGAGCAGGATATCAATACTGCACTCAAATAATTGCTCACTTCAATGTATTGCACATAAAAAAAAAAAACAAAAAAACAATAGAAATTGTTCTCAAACAAAACTTCAGCAATAACTCCTCCTTAAAGATGAAATGCAAATATATTGTACTTAAAAGTTGACGACAGTACAACTGAACCGTACATAGGTAGGGGTTCTTTCGCGTACCACTAGAGGGAGCCCGCATACAACACTTTGAGAATCTTCGGCCTTTTTCCGCGTTCAAGTTTGCTGATCCAAAATCTGGCCCGTCCTTCCTTGGCAGCCCCTGAGACGCTGATGCGGGCTTTGGAGCTGCTCAACCACCTGGAGGCCCTGGACGACGACGGCGAACTGACGGGTCTGGGCGCCGTGATGGCCGAGTTCCCGCTGGATCCGCAGCTGGCCAAGATGGTCGTCACCAGCTGCGAGTTGGGGTGCTCTGACGAGGCACTCTCCATCACCGCCATGCTGTCAGGTAGGTACTTTCTGCCTTTCTGTGACTCCTCCGGTCTCTCTGTATCTCTGTTGTAACCTCCCGATGACATCACAAGACGACGTGTCAAGTACTAAATGAACAAAAAGAAATAAATAAAAACGAATAGCACAAACATTCCAGCAGTCGAGATAATGTAAATGGGTAGTGGGGACCGTACTTTGCCCACCCTTGGGTTAACTTCGCCCTTTGGGCCCATACCAATCTTGTTTAGTCCCGCAGTGCTTCATGCGACCTCCTGAAGCCAAAAAGGCGGCCGACGATGCCAAGATGCGACTGGCCCACCCAGACGGAGACCACCTGACTCTTCTCAACGTCTACCTCGCCTTCCAACAAAGTAAGTCAGTGTGCGGCATCCCCTCTTCTTGATTTTGACCTCTTCATTTTCCCACTCAGGCCACCGGTCATCACAGTGGTGCTACGACAACTTTGTCAGCTACCGCTCGCTGATGGCGGCGGACAGCGTGCGCCTGCAGCTGGACCGCATCATGGAGCAATCGGGCTTGCCCCGGCGGACCTGCGACGGGGACGACGTCCACATCCGCCGCATGCTGCTCACTGGTTTCTTCATGCAGGTCGGAATTATTTTGCACTACAGTTGAAATCGTATTTTTTCTGATTGCTGTTGAGAAACAAATTATTGTTTTTTATTTGGGATTTTTATTTTTTCATAATGAAACAAAACCAAACAGCAATGAAGCAATATCACAGGAGTGGGAGTGATGTTTTACTCGCTCGGCCACCCACCCCCCTCTGCTTTTGCTCCCGGTCTCAATTTGGGCAGGTTGCTCACCTTGAGCGCAGCGGCCACTATTTGACGGTGAAAGACAAGCAGGTGGTCCAGCTGCACCCGTCCAGCGTGCTAGGCCGCAAGCCCGAGTGGCTCCTCTACGGCGAGTACGTGCTCACGGCCAAGAACTACATTCGCATGTGCACCCGCATCCACCCGCAGTGGTGAGTCTTGCCCGCTCGCACGTGATTCTCAACCAATGTGGAAATTATCCACTTTCACTCAATCGACGCAACGATTATTTAGTCACTCCAAATAATGTATTTTGTTTCATCTATCTATATGAGTGCCTCATGTTGCCAGATTTACCCAGTAAAAAGTAACACAATCTCTTGGTATGTTTCGCTTTAAAATGGAATCCATAGTGTGCTGCAATCCATGTGTGTGTGTGTGTGTGTGTGTGTGTGTGTGTGTGTGTGTTTTTTTTTTTTAACTCATTCACTCCCAAAGACGTTTTTAAATGTCTTTTCAGACTTGGTCTAGAATTGGCTGGTACTGAATTAAGTAGTGTTATTGAAGCTAGAAAACACTGTGTCGACAGCACAGAGTGCGCAACAAGCCCTAATATTTTTGTTTGTAGCTGAAACAAACTCAAAATAGTTACTGTATTTCCAACTTCAAAAGTTATTTGTCAAGTGCCATGACTGAGTACTATGATCTTAGCAGTCAAGTGTATTTTATTATTCAATAGCTAGAGGTAGGTGCTGTTGATTTTTAGTCTAGTCAATTATTTCTCACTGCTGCCACCTAGTGGTGGTTAACAGCAAGTGCCTTTGGAGGTGAAAGGTGCTGCTCTTTCAAAATATTGATGTTGGTTTCAAGTCAAAGTCAATATATTCATTTTAATAACTTTTTGTGGCATTTTTTTTAGTAATTGTAATCTGAATACTTTACTGGATAACATGTTGAATTTGTCATTACTGGGAAACATGCACATTTTGCAGTAATGCGTTACTTTGTAATGTGTCACCGTAATCACAGCCAGCGACATTTATTGGCATTGTTTCACAATGTATGCAATGTAGGTTAAGTATATACTTTGGCTCCAGAAATGTTGGCAAATACTGAAGTATCTTCCCCTTGTATCAAAAAGTTTTAGGACTAACACTGATGCTCTTTTCGAGGTTGCTGGAAATCGCCCCGCGCTACTATGAGATGAGCAACTTCCCGCCGTGCGAAGCCAAGAGAGAGTTGCAGCGCATCAATGGCGAGCTCTCATCCAAGCAATTGTGAAGAAAAGAAATGCAGCCCATTTGTTGCGAGTCAAGGGGAGATATCACCGAGATTGGCTTTTATCCAGAACAGTTCCCATCTCATCAGGTTGGACGATCACGCGTCCGCCTCTCATCTTTTTTTGAGAGCTGGATTGTTGTCACATTTATTCCTCTCACAAGTAATAAACATGAATTTTGGTATAAAACAACCCCAAGTGTCGATATTTTGGTCGAATGGACGCTTTTAACTGTAAGATGCAAGGTAAACATGCATGCTGGCGACAAAAACAGGAAGAAGACCACACCCGTCTTTTCAATGTGGGCTCCCCCTAGTGGTATGTGACAGAATCACTCCCTAAGGCATTTTAGTTGTCTTTAACTTTTAAATTCAGTATGTTCAAATTCAGATGCAATTTGACCTATGATGTGCAATACTTTGAAATGAAATGATGAAGTACGTTTTTTGATTGTTCTATAATTAAGCGCAATGTGAATGTTGAAACTGTGAATATAGCGGTAATGGCTTACAAAACAACTTTGACTACCTTTTAGCGTTTTTTTTTTTTTTTTTTTGATGAACAATTAAGCCTTCCATGCTACTGCGTTTTTCAGTTGTTCTTAATGGCACTCTGAGTCAAAAATTGGCCAACCACCGAGATCTATGATGAAATATGCGATCATATCGTGGGGGCTACCTTTGTCAGAACACGAAAGAGCCTTTTTCACGTGCACAGCAAGGAGGTTAGCATGTGTTCTTTTAGTTTTGCATTGCTCCAAAAAAGTGGGCGGTGATTCGCCATCAACAAAGCGAAAAAGGGTGAGAGTCATCCCTCCCCGAGTGAAGCCAATAGAAAGGCCATTAGTCGGCGCTGATCTGGAAATTATATGGAATTGATCCTGAGGTAAGAACACTTTTTCAGGCTCGATACTTCCCATTGATTCTGGCTGCTATAATTATAAATGAAAATCGTTACGGAGCCAACTTGTGTTTTGAACTGAGTCTCACACCACACACGCATACAAACCCTCTCACAAAAGTGATTTCCTCTCCTGTTCATGGAAAGCATATGAGATGTGTGTGGCTTCAACTTCTTGAACAGCCACTTCATTAGGTACACCTGTCCCCCATTTTGATAACACCCAACAAGCAATCAAGGATCCTTCATGTATCCTGTATCCATTTTGCAGACTTATCCACCTATTGATGCTTTCGGCCATGAGCCCGAACTCCCAAATTACGATTTTTTTTTCAAGTTACAAGATGTCAATTGGTCTATTTTGACTTTGCTTTGTGTCACAAACCAACATTGGACTTTGCCTGCCTTAGCGCCATGATGCTTACTCTACCCAAACCCACAGCGAGCAGGTGGTGTTTCCGAACAGCGTGAACGAGCGGCCCTGCTCTGCAGCCACCCCCGGAGTCCGTTCTGGTCGGCCAGTGCCTCATCATCATTTGATGACTGCGGGCAGGAAACTTTTATTGCAGCACACCTCAGCGTTCTGGGAAGTCCATCCACCCACCCGCTATTCCTCCTTTGCCTACTTGTGCTTTTCTTTTGTTTTTTTTTCTGCACCGTATTCCAGGCCAGGTGTCTTATCTGCCATCTTGCCGCGCACAGCATAGCCAATCTTTTGGGGAAGATGGCGACGGGAATGTAACAAATCCATCTGTCCCGGTTTGAATTTGTATGCTAATTTGAAGTAATGGCCCCTCCGGTGAGGGTGCGAGGGAACAATTCCATCACGGCTTGTACAACAGCCGCATCTCAGCCCCGGCCTAGCGACATCGGCGCGCACGAAGCCCAGGTTAGCCTCGATAGACGGCGAGGTGGCATGCAGGAACGGCACCGTGGCTTGAGCCCCCAGCGATTTGACCTCATTTATTCCCATGTAGACCGCAATGAACTTTCAGCCGGTTTGCCTCATCACACGAGCATCATAGCCTCACCAACGGAACCGCGTATTGTCACCAAAGTGTCTGGGGCTGCTGATTTGATTCAGTGAGAAGCTTTCACGCGTGGCCGGGCAGAAAACGAGACAGCTCGGAGAGAGGAAACACAAGATGCATGGATCAAATGAGCTGAGCCGTGTCGTACGCTCGCCACCTTGGCCCTCCCTCGACGCGCTGCAAAAGCGTATGACACCACTCGGCTATCTTTAAATTAATCTCTACGGCGCGGGAAAGATAACGGCCGATAAGGTGATGCTTACTTTTCTTCCGCTGCCACAGCACACCTATCAACGAAGACCATATATAGTGTACAGTATAGCATACATGCTATACTATAAAAATACTAATCGTCACCCATACCGAGTATCGATACCACTGGTACTTTTCATACGTCCATTTCAATATACACAATGACCGATTACTGTGGACAAAGATCTTTCTTTCTTTCTTTCTTTCTGACTGTTCTGCTCTCCCCAGCCGCTGAGTTACTCAGTCAGTTCCAAGCACAGTTGAGTCAAACCAGATGAAACTGGAACTTGTTTTGGGACGTTTTATTGTCGCATAAAACCGTCATATAAAACCGTTACACAAATGATTACAAAAATGCACCGTAGGTACAAAAAAGTTGGAAACTGGTGATTATAGCTCACTGTGTGATACTGCAGATACAAATACAAAGTAAGTAAACCAGCCTGTAGTACATTCAAGAGTAAAAATAGACACGAAGGATGTACTGAATAATAACAACAATGTCTTATTTATTCATCCAATATCCAAACTGCCTTTCTTTTTCCCCCCAAAATTGTGCCCACTCAATCAAAATCTTTTTTAGATGAATATAACATCATGGAGGTTTTCCAGCCAGGTTTTAAAATGCCGCATAGCACAAAGTCAGTCCTGTTATGAGTTTTTAATGACATCCTCCTGGCTAATGACACTGGAGACTACGTCTGCTCTCACCAGCGGTTAGGATACTCAGTCAGTTCAAAGCAGGGTTTTAATAAAACCAGATGAAACCGAAACTTGTTTTTGGATACTAAAAATAATGCAAGGAAATAATTCTGTTAAGGGCAATTGAGCCAAACGTTTTACACACACACACACACACACACACACACACACACACACACACACACACACACACACACACACACACACGCTTGCGTGCAATAGCATCCTGTGTTCAGGTTGACCTTTTAGGGGTGTGGCCAACTGAATGACATCACAGTTGCAAGGGGACTCCAGCGTGCTGTGTTCAGTGTGTCTTCTTCATGCACCTTGCCAGTGTGTTCATTTTGCATTTGTATATTATGACCATCCTGTTCAATAAACGGCTGAAAATGCCTTGGCTCTCTTTTTTTCCTCACTTCACTTGAGCAGATTTGAATCTCATTTGTAACTTAAATGTTGGCTCCAATCACAAAGCAACGTAAAGTCGGAACGCAAAATAAATAAATAAATGTAATGAGTTCGGGCACTCGTATGTCAAGATAGCGCCGGATTCCGCAAATGAATTTTTACAGCAATCTCCAGGCCAAAACACCGCCATCAATGTTTGGAAGTATATACCAGAACAACAGGTGGCGCTGTAACCCCGAGACATCAGGTGATTTTAGCCAATCAGAAGCATGAACTATATTTGTACCAACAAAATTTCATCATTTCGTACCGGTGAGCAACAAAGTATTTATTTTTTTCAATCAAAGTTCACTTGTTTGTGACTATGCCTTAGTTTTATTTAATTAGTTTCACTTTTACATTTGAAATTTAAAAGTAACTAAAACACACTATGCATAAAAACACGGACATTTAAAAATAATAACGTTTTTGAAACCATTTTATCAATTCTAGGTGCTTTATTATTTTATTTTGTTTTATTTGGGAAATGGGAAGTGGTGTGGTGGTGGGGGTGAGGCACACCATGTGACAGAGGAAGCCGGGGAAGCTCGTCGCTTGCGTCCGCGCGGTAACCGCCCGCCCGTTGGAAGCGAGGCAGGCCGGCCGGAAGAATCCGACACGTCGCTGCGGTGTCGACCGAACTCCGAGCTCGAGGTTCTACCGGCGAGCAAATGGACGACGCCGCCCGTGGCCGCCGGAGCGACGACGAGCCAGTCAGTCTCACGTGGGAGAGCCGCTGCGAGCAGGTAGGACACTCCGGCATAATGCCACCTTGTCTGGCGCACACGTGAACATGATCTGGTGATGGAATGGAAGCTCGAAAAGCTTGACAATTAAAAACAATAAAAATAAAACAAAACACGAATGTTTTCTGTTTTGCTGTGAGACGCACCTGAGCTAATTATCTTCCTAATTAACACCAGTTATGCCCCCCCCCCCCCGAAACTTTCTCCCACAACTATTTGCTCATTTGAAGAATGGAATCAATATGTAAGGGGCAGTTAAGAGTAATCTGAGGCTAGGTTCCCCCGTTTGGGTCACCTGAGCTTTTGTGCGAGTTTCCGTGTTGGCTCATGTGAGAGTTGGTTGCCAGGTTTCACTTTCAACCCTCTTTTGATTGTCAAGTGCTCTTTTTGGGCAAAGTGGCTCATGCAGTTGCAGTATTCAAAAGCATTTTTTAAAAGCATTTTCAGACAAAATGTCTGTTTAATATCTTTGAGGGTTCAAATGTTTTTTGTTCGTCGAGCAAATCTCGCGTGGTTTGAGGGGGGGGCTTGCACTCACTTTGTAATTACAACATGAAAGAGGATTAAAGAAGCACTTAGTGGGTGTCTTAGTATAACGTCGCAACTATTTAGCAAACAAAAGCATGCAAATGTCTTATTGAACGACTTGTTGCACACATTCTGGGTTTTGTTTTGGGTTACGCTCACTCAAAGAATGTATTTTTTAATTTTTATTTTTTGAATTGAACTGCTCTTGAGCTGCTGTCTACCAAAAGCAACTTCAAACATGCTGTTTACTGCGTCTCAGAATCCTCTGTATATATTAAATAGAAGTGCTTTCATTCCACTCTTGAAATCACTTTAAAAAGCCACTGCTCAATAACAGAACGGTGGTTTTGTGTTTGGTACACTTTGTAAAGTACACTCAACAGCTCAACAGTAACCTGAGCATTTGTGCCGGGAAAAGGAATCCCATCAGGGCTACTAATATCATACATTTGTAGTTGGTCAACAGAAGCAACGACAAAGCTGATAGCTGGAAAAAAAAGACATTACAAGACACAACATATATAAAATGTGTGTGTGTGTGTGTGTGTGTGTGTGTGTTTTATATATATATATATATATATATATA